AGTGTGAAAGAGCACAGAGTACTGTGCTCGGGCAAGATTCCTGCCATGTGCCTCCCTTGGCAAGGCAATTTTTCCTGAGCTGAGAACGCAAAACTCCCTCCTGTACTTTGTGGACTCTCACACACACAATTTAGGATCTGGGAAAATCCTTCCTTGCTGGTATGTCAGCCAGCACACCGTCGCTAAAGCTCTGCTAAGAGCAAAACGAGCCCCGGCGTTACTGAACTGTGTGTTTTTTCCCATGGTTTACATATTGTGAAATACAGCTAAAGAGTCTCTCTAGAGCTTACGTGGGAAAAAAATCCCCAAATTTTCTTGAAGCAACTGGAGGGATGTGAAAACACCCCACCATAGACCAACAATCCCCTTAGGTGGTGCAGGAACACGCTGCCTCTCGCTTACACCACCATCACAACACACAGGCAGCCTGAAATCCTGTGAGAGCTCCACTTTCACGGCCAAGGGAGCAGGAGAGGGTCTGCAGCACACACCAATGCCCCAGGAAAAAGGCCAAAGGGAACAGAAAAAGGGGATTTCAACCCAGATTCAAATGAGAAATCCAAAACAGAGGTAAGTGTTTCCCTCAGCGGGGTTCAGGCGGCCGATGACACAGATGGGTGTTGCAGTCTGGACGAGGGCTCCTTGCAGAGACGGTACCACTTTCAGCTGAGCACCCCCAGTCCCTCGTGGCCACTGTGCAGACACAAGAGGTGTTCCTGCTGTGCAGTCCCAGTGGTGGAGCAGGTCCTGGATGCAGCCCACAAGGAAGGTGGCAAGAGGCTGGCACCCTAGGGTGGGAAATACTCACTCCTCACATTATGTCCTTTGGCGTGGCTCTGGGAATGTGCTGCTCCTTGTCACCCCCACACCTTGTGCTGAGCCACCACAGCCCTAAAAATCCTGCCAAGGAGCATCAGTCCTCCAGGTTGCAACCACCGGGAAGTCTGGGGTTGTTCCACTTCCCAGCTGCCATGGCAGGCTGCTCCGTGCAGGATGAGCTGACAGGGACTGGTTTACATGGGGAGCCCTTTTCCCCTGCCTCGGTGCCACCAGTATTCCCAATGCATCAGAACTCCTCACCAAACACAGTCAGCAGTGGGGAAGGCTCCTTCTCATCCTGCCTGACAGGGTGGGAGGGATCCCATTATCCACTCGTGGGGGTCCAGCCCTTTGCTACCCTCTCCATCCCACTCCCAGTGGCCAGCCCTTCAAGGGAAAACAGGGATGCTGGGGAAGTGGTTAAAGAAAAGGTACAAATTCACCCTTCCAGGGGTGAATGTACATTCCCATTTCATTATCCTTCTAAACATCCCTTGTCCTTTCAGAAATGGAAATGCTGATGCGCAATAGGGCCCTCTGTAGCTGCAAAGAGAAACTGGGGCTTATTGCAGGGCACAGGTAGGATGGGAGACCTCCCAGTAAAACAATATCACGTCCAGTAAGTGCACAAAACAATTCCATTAACATTTCAGGATGCTCCGGGCTCAGGCACATCTCCCCAGCAGCTCAAGGCAATGGGCAGAGCTCTGCCGTGTTCCCAGTGAGTTATTTATGCACAGTGACAAGGCACAGTCCTTCCCAGCCTCACTGCCTCTCCCCAGATAAATAAATAAATAAAGCAGCTCTTTGGAACAACAACAACAACAAAAAAAAAACACAAACACTTGAACCTGAACACAACAAACCCTTTAAATAAAAGGGTTTTAGAGCCCTTCCCTAAACTCAGTGAAGCAGAAGACAGCGAAGGACCTGTAAGTGCTCCTCGCCCAGGGTCCTTCCTAGAGATGGGTTTTACCTGGGATATCTGCATGCAATACCAGGAGAACTTTTATTTTTCCAGTCCACCCTACCCTCCTCTGAAGCTTTTTGAAGCGGAAATGCTTCGAGGCAGACACTGCTCTAGCCCAGCTCTGAGCTGAGCTGCCAGCACCAGACAGGAGCGATGGGGTTGGAACTGGAGTGAGGTTCTGGAGTTTCCTAGAGTATCCCGTGTGGCTCCAAGAAGCAGGAGTGCTCAGGCAGTGCTCTCCGTGGTAGGCACAAGGTAACAGCGTGCTGTTGGTGATCGTTGGCAGTATCCCACCCCACACCAGCCGGAGTTCTCCAAGGCAGAGGCAGCGGGATTCACCTCCGCCCGCTCCTCGCTTTGACTCCAAAGTTACAACCGTTATACCTGCACTCCAGCCGGGAAAACAAAGTCAACCATCTCGTCTCTGGCTTCCTTCCAGCAGCCTCATCCCACAGACAAACGTGCACGGCTGTGCATAAGCAAATGTCATTTGATAACTCAGAAGAGAAAAGAGAGGGGGGGGGGGGGGG